GTAAACCAAATAACATACACACAGGCACATAACGAGATGGGAACTAACACCTGGGCTGAGGGCTTGGACATTACATCTTCTATTCATCCACCTTGACTGTCACCCTAAATCTCATTTTTCTCTAATTGCGTAATCTATTTCTACTCCAAAATATATCCTCCTCCTCTTTCTTACACATGCTCTTCATCAGTCTTTACCCTCTCTCCATCCCTCCCTCTTTTCTCATATGAACAGTTGTCATATTTAATGATTTTCCTTACGGTGATGTCATCCATCATCAAGAAAATATGCTTACATCACAATGACATTCTTCTGCTGTCTCATCCCCTTTTACATTCCTCCTTTGTGTTATCCCTCCCTTCTGCTCTCCACCCATAAAACAAAAGACAAATCTCTCTCTCTCTGCATTGCCACGATTCTTCTCAGACAGAGAGAGAGGGATACTGAGAGAGGGAAAGAAAGAGAAACAAAGGAAGTCGCAGAGAGAGAGAGAGACGGAGCGATAGAGAAACACAAAGAGATAGATAGGGAGACAGAGAAAGGATGAATGTATGTCTTTGTTGAAAGTCAGATAGCGTAGTGCTCATCCCTGCTATAAGAGTGTGGCATTTCAGAGCAGCTAGACATATACTTTAATGGTTGTCTCTGCAGACAGAGTCGAAAAATGACATTTTTCTTGTTTGGATTATGCTTTGTTTTAATTGAACATTACATCTGACTCTCTTGGTCGTTCATCTCTCTCTATCCCTCTCTCATTTTGTCTCTCTCTCTCTCCCTCTCTTTCTCTCTCTCTGACATGTGACAGCACCTGTGCTTTGATCTCTTGTGCCCTTCTGAAAAAAGTTAGAACAGGGGAGAGAAGAGGAGAGGGGATGAGAAAAGGATAGACAGGATAGAGGAACAGACTCATATTTAAACGAGGGATTGATTTTTCTGCTCTCTAGTTATTAGTTGTTACAACAGTCTGCTCTCTAGTTATTAGTTGTTACAACAGTCTGCTCTCTAGTTATTAGTTGTTACAACAGTCTGCATTCGTTTTATTAGTTGTTACAACAGTCTTCTCTCTAGTTATTAGTTGTTACAACATTCTGTTTTCTAGTTATTAGTTGTTACAACAGTCTGCTTTCTAGTTATTAGTTGTTACAACAGTCTTCTCTCTAGTTATTAGTTGTTACAACAGTCTGCTCTCTAGTTATTAGTTGTTACAACAGTCTGATTTCTAGTTCTTAGTTGATACAACAGTCTGGTTTCCATTTATTAGTTGTTACAACAGTCTGCTCTCTAGTTATTAGTTGTTACAACAGTCTTTTTTTGTTATTAGTTGTTACAACAGTCTGCTTTCTAGTTATTAGTTGTTACAACAGTCTTTTTTTGTTATTAGTTGTTACAACAGTCTGCTTTCTAGTTATTAGTTGTTACAACAGTCTTCTTTCTAGTTATTAGTTGTTACAACAGTCTGCTTTCTAGTTATTAGTTGTTACAACAGTCTTTTTTTGTTATTAGTTGTTACAACAGTCTGCTTTCTAGTTATTAGTTGTTACAACAGTCTTCTCTCTAGTTATTAGTTGTTACAACAGTCTGCTTTCTAGTTATTAGTTGTTACAACAGTCTGCTTTCTAGTTATTAGTTGTTACAACAGTATTTTTTTGTTATTAGTTGTTACAACAGTCTGCTTTTTAGTTATTATTTGTTACAACAGTCTTCTCTCTAGTTATTAGTTGTTACAACAGTCTGCTTTCTAGTTATTAGTTGTTACAACAGTCTTTTTTTGTTATTAGTTGTTACAACAGTCTGCTTTCTAGTTATTAGTTGTTACAACAGTCTTCTCTCTAGTTATTAGTTGTTACAACAGTCTGCTCTCTAGTTATTAGTTGTTACAACAGTCTGCTCTCTAGTTATTAGTTGTTACAACAGTCTGCTTTCTAGTTATTAGTTGTTACAACAGTCTGATCTCTAGTTATTAGTTGTTACAACAGTCTGCTCTCTAGTTATTAGTTGTTACAACAGTCTGCTCTCTAGTTATTAGTTGTTACAACAGTCTGCTCTCTAGTTATTAGTTGTTACAACAGTCTGCTTTCTAGTTATTAGTTGTTACAACAGTCTGATCTCTAGTTATTAGTTGTTACAACAGTCTGCTCTCTAGTTATTAGTTGTTAAAACAGTCTGCTCTCTAGTTATTAGTTGTTACAACAGTCTGTTTTCTAGTTATTAGTTGTTACAACAGTCTGCTTTCTAGTTATTAGTTGTTACAACAGTCTGTCTTCTAGTTATTAGTTGTTACAACAGTCTGCTTTCTAGTTATCGTTTTGTCTCCAAAGCCCCATATACTACCCACCACTGTGACCTGTACACTCTTGTTGGCTGGTCCTCACTACATATTCGTCGCCAAACCCACTGGCTCCAGGCCATCTATAAATCACTGCTAGGCAAATCCCCGCCTTATCTTAGCTCATTGGTCACCATAGCAACACCCACCCGTAGTCTGCGCTCCAGCAGGTATATCTCACTGGTCATCCCCAAAGCCAACACCTCCTTTGGCCGCCATTCCTTCCAGTTCTCTGCTGCCAATGACTGGAACAAATTGCAAAAATCTCTGAAGCTGGAGACACTTATCTCCCTCACTAACTTTAAGCATCAGTTGTCAGAGCACCTTACCGATCACTGCACCTGTACACAGCCCATCTGAAATTAGCCCGCCCAACTACCTCATCCCTATATTGTTATTTATTTTGCTCATTTGTACCCCAGTATCTCTATTTGCACATCATCTCTTGCACATCTATCATTCCAGTGTTAATACTAATTGTAATTATTTTGCACTATAGCCTATTTATTGCCTTACCTCCATAACTTGCTACATTTGCACACACTGTATATATATTTATTTCTGTTGTATTTTTGACTTTGTTTTGTTTTACCCCATATGTAACTCTGTGTTGTTGTTTTTATCGCAGTGCTTTGCTTTATCTTGGCCAGGTCGCAGTTGTAAATGAGAACCTGTTCTCAACTGGTTTACCTGGTTAAATAAAGGTGAAATAAAAAATAAAAAAATAAAAAAATATTAGTTGTTACAACATTCTGCTTTCTAGTTATTAGTTGTTACAACATTCTGCTTTATATTTATTAGTTGTTACAACAGTCTGCTTTCTAGTTATTAGTTGTTACAACATTCTGCTTTATATTTATTAGTTGTTACAACAGTCTGCTTTCTAGTTATTAGTTGTTACAACATTCTGCTTTATATTTATTAGTTGTTACAACAGTCTGATTTCTAGTTATTAGTTGTTACAACAGTCTGCATTCGTTTTATTAGTTGTTACAACAGTCTTCTCTCTAGTTATTAGTTGTTACAACAGTCTGCATTCTAGTTATTAGTTGTTACAACAGTCTGCATTCGTTTTATTAGTTGTTACAACAGTCTTCTCTCTAGTTATTAGTTGTTACAACAGTCTGCATTCTAGTTATTAGTTGTTACAACAGTCAGTTTTTTAGTTATTAGTTGTTACAACAGTCTTCTCTCTAGTTATTAGTTGTTACAACAGTCTGCATTCTAGTTATTAGTTGTTACAACAGTCAGTTTTTTAGTTATTAGTTGTTACAACAGTCTGCTCTCTAGTTATTCGTTGTTATAACAGTCTGTTTTCTAGTTATTGGTTGTTACAACAGTCTGCTCTCTAGTTATTAGTTGTTACAACAGTCTGCATTCGTTTTATTAGTTGTTACAACATTCTGTTTTCTAGTTATTAGTTGTTGCAAAAGTCTGCTTTCTAGTTATTAGTTGTTACAACAGTCTGCATTCGTTTTATTAGTTGTTACAACAGTCTGCTCTCTAGTTATTAGTTGTTACAACAGTCTGCTTTCTAGTTATTAGTTGTTACAACAGTCTGCATTCGTTTTATTAGTTGTTACAACAGTCTGCTCTCTAGATATTAGTTGTTACAACAGTCTGTTTTCTAGTTATTAGTTGTTACAACAGTCTGTTTTCTAGTTATTAGTTGTTACAACAGTCTGCTCTCTAGTTATTAGTTGTTACAACAGTCTGCTCTCTAGTTATTAGTTGTTACAACAGTCTGCATTCATTTTATTAGTTGTTACAACAGTCTGATTTCTAGTTATTAGTTGTTACAACAGTCTGTTTTCTAGTTATTAGTTGTTACAACAGTCTGCTCTCTAGTTATTAGTTGTTACAACAGTCTGCTCTCTAGTTATTATTTGTTACAACAGTCTGTTTTCTGGTTATTAGTTGTTACAACAGTCTGTTTTCTAGTTATTAGTTGTTACAACAGTCTATTTTCTAGTTATTAGTTGTTACAACAGTCTGCTTTCTAGTTATTAGTTGTTACAACAGTCTGCTTTCTAGTTATTAGTTGTTACAACAGTCTTCTTTCTAGTTATTAGTTGTTACAACAGTCTGTTTTCTAGTTATTAGTTGTTACAACAGTCTGCTTTCTAGTTATTAGTTGTTACAACAGTCTGCTCTCTAGTTATTAGTTGTTACAACAGTCTGTCTTCTAGTTATTAGTTGTTAAAACAGTGTCACAATCGTTTACGGATGAGACGGACCAAGGCGCAGCGTGATAAGCGTACATATTTATTAACGTACTGAACACGAACAAAACAACAAACAAACGATACGTGAAGTCCAAGGTAGACTAATAACATACCTATACGGAACAAGATCCCACACAGACTGGTGCCAAATGGCTGCCTAAGTATGGTCCCCAATCAGAGACAACGAACTACAGCTGCCTCTGATTGGGAACCACCCTGGCCAACATAGATCTACACAATCTAGAAACTCAAACATAGAAAACTATACATAGAAACTACACACCCTGGCTCAACATTTAAGAGTCCCCAGAGCCAGGGCGTGACAGTACCCCCCCCCCCCCAAAGGTGCGGACTCCGACCGCGCCCCATAAACATAACAGGGTAGGGGCCGTGTGGGCATTCCGCCTCGGAGGCGGATCCGGCTCCGGGCGTAACCACCACCTTCTCTC